TGTCTTACTTTTTCCTGCGAATTTCGTCAAAGAAAACGGACATAAACAGAATTCTGAAGTCATAATGAAATTTATGTGAGAATTGCTCTGTCGTGTTCTTGTTTTTGTTGAATTATGATGCCACATGAACAGCATAAAGAGCAAGTTAAGTTTTTAGTGATAATGGTGAAGGTGGAATGTGTTATTTCAAAAATGCGTGTGTGTGTCTGTGTGCGTGTGTGTGTGTTATTTCAAAGTGTGTGCGTGTGCGTGTGCGTGAATGTTAATTTGTGTCTGTGTGTGTTATTTCAAAGTGTGTGCGTGTGCCATTCTTTGTATTTTTACTTCACCTAAAAAAAAAAAATCTCAACACGTGGATAGATAAAGTTAACTTAGTCACTTCAATAAGGATTTAAAAGTATCAAGACACGATTAAAAATACTCAAAATATAGTGAAACTCTGGGCCATATCTTGATAAGCACTTACAAACAACTTAGGGGAAAATAATAAAGTGATAAACAAGGAAAAAACTAGAAAAATATTGTATAGATGAGAAATCAAAGACATATAAGTTTACATACATCTATATACACTTCCGGGATAAAGTTAATTAACAAGTTATCTAGAATTTAAATAAAAAGAGAAAGGTACATGTGATATACAAATTGAGTTGCATGCCACAATTTTTGTCATTAATTCACTTCGTCAGTTATGTTCTATTTCAGTCAAGTTTAGTAGTGACTTAACGTCTATTTTAGCTTATAATTCCTTATAACGAATAAAATAAAATTTGTTAAATGCATAAAAAGTATTCATCGGTGTTAATAAATACAAGCTAGGAAAAAATATGAACAATTTGTCTTTTTTATCAGACTTGACTCTATTTCGCTTTTTTCGAAAATGATAATAAATCAAATATGAACAATTTGTCTTTTTTATCAGACTTGACTCTATTTCGCTTTTTTCGAAAATGATAATAAATCAATTATTTTAGTAAATAAAGAGAACCAACATGGTATACTCTGATTCAGAGAAAGAACACGAAATTAAATATTAATGCTTCATCACGAAGGTTTGACCTCAATGTGGAAAAAAAGAAAAAAAAAACAGGTCATTAAAAAAAGAAAAAAAGTTTTCATGTCTGCAACTCACTGACACTCATATACTACACACTTTCCATTGTGATAGTCTATATAGTAGTTACGAAGAACAAGTTATGGAGAACAAACGCTAGCGTGTTCTTCTTCCACTAAGCCAAATAAACTCAATATACAAGATGTTCTTTGCGGTTGCCTTCAGTAAGTTTCTGTTCTCTTCAACATGCTGATTTCGGAGGACCCTGGAAGAGATAGACTGCAATTAATATCATTATGTAGTTATAGCTATTATTATTATTATCATTATTATCGTTATTTTTATTATTATTATCATTTTTATTATTGTTGTTGTTATTACCTTTATTTTATTAGTTTCATCAACATTATTGTTATTGTTATCATTATTATTTTCATTATCACCATCATTATCTTTATTATCATTATCTTTATATAATCATCAGTATCATAGTTATTGTTATTATCATTATTTTCATCATTATCATTATGTTTATTAGCACCATATCTATTTCAATTATCATCATTATAATTATTATTATTACTATTGATTTCATCATTATCATTGTTATTGTTATAATCATCATTATCATATTACCATTACCTTTTTATTATTGTTATCACTAGCATTATCATTATTAATATTATTATCATTATTATCATAATCATGATAATGATGATGATTATCATTATTATCGTTCTATCATTATCATTATTATCATTATTATCATATAATAATTATTATTATTTATCATTATCATTTTAGTATTATGATGATCATAATTGTCATTACCACATCATCAAATCATCATCACCAATCATCATCATCACCAATCATCATCACCAATCATCATCATTCACCAATCAATCATCATCATCACCAACATCATCAACCAATCATCATCATCATCATCATCATCAATCATCATCATCACCAATCATCATCACCAATCATCATCAATCATCATCATCAATCATCATCACCAATCATCATATCATCATCACCACAATCATCATCACCATCATCATCATCACCAATCATCATCATCACCATCATCATCACCAATCATCATCACCAATCATCATCATCACCAATCATCATCATCAATCATCATCACCAATCATCATCAATCATCATCATCACCATCATCATCAATCATCATCACCACCATCATCATCACCATCATCACAATCATCATCAATCATCATCGTCACAATCATCATCACCATCATCATCATCATCCCATCATCATCACCACCATCATCATCATCATCATAATCATCATCATATCATCATCACAATCATCATCATCACCAATCATCATCATCATCATCACCATCATCATCAATCATCATCACCAATCATCATCATCACCAATCATCATCATCACCAATCATCATCATCATCATCCAATCATCATCATCAATCATCCAATCATCATCATCACCATCATCATCACCAATCATCATCAATCATCATCATCACCATCATCATCACCATCATCATCATCAAATCCAATCATCATCATCAATCATCATCATCACCAATCATCATCACCATCATCATGCATCATCACAATCATCATCATCCATCATCACCATCATCATATCATCATCATCCCAATCATCATCATCATAACCATAACCATTATACCAACAACACCAACAACAATCATTTAAAAACAAGTCACATCCTTACATTTTCAACTTTCTTGCCAAATTTGCTCCAAAAAGTCACGGGGCACTTCATCTTTTTGCCAGTTCTCTCGTCGAATATTTGGCAGGCGCTGAAGGGGGGGCAGTAGAGGTGGAGGGAGACAGCGCCCTCACTGTGGGAGGCGTTCTCTACCCGGTGCAGCCCGAGGGAATCTGGGGAGAGAGGGAGGGGTGTGAGCTCGTGGTCTGCTGCTGGTGGTGGTGTTGGTGGGGTGAGGTGGGGAGGGGTGTTGTGGTGGGGAGAGAGGGAGGGGTGTGAGGTCGTGGTCTGCTGGTGGTGGTGGTGGTCGTGTAGTAGTGTAATGTAATAGTAGTATAGTAGTAGTAGTAGTACTGGTGTTATAATAGTAGTGTAATAATAGTAGTACTAGTGTTATAATAGTTGGTAGTAATGTAGTACTAGTGTTATAATAGTAGTGGTAGTGTAATGATAGTACTAGTAGTAGCAGTAGTAATAGTATAGTAGTAATAGTAGTAGTGGTAGTATTAGTGGTGGTTGTAGCAATAGTAGTGGCAGTAGTAATAGTAGTGGTATTGGTAGTCGTATTTTCATTATCATCTTTGTCACGTCATCTTCATCATTAACATTACCATTATCGTGATCATTATCTTTATTATGATATTTATTATAATCACTAAAAATTATTCATTATCATTATCATCATTATAGTCATCACCGTTATTACTACAACTACTATTATTATCGTTATTATTACCATTACTCTTATTACTAGAGCCATTATTATCAAAATCAATATTACATCATTAATACCATTACTGTCAATTATCATTATCATTTGCATTATTCATATTATTACAATTATTATAATTCGTAAAGTTATTTATGCATTCATCTTGAAATATACGCTCTATGTAAGGATATCTTACAATATGTTACAGTCTAATATATCGATGGAAATTTGTTTCTTTGTTTACAGCAAATTGGCATGTTTATTTCATAGTATTACACCATTGTAGCTTTTACATCCGTCTACTGCGTACACTTTTTTGTTTATTTTGTCTATCATAAACCATTTGACAGTCTATTTAGAGCGAGTTTTTCTGTTTCTAATATATATTTTTATTCATTAAGGTAATTGTATTTAATTATGTGGCATGATTATGAGGTTAGGCAAATGAATTTCATCCTTTAAATGTTATATAAACGTGCAAACACCGTTATTTATACGTCTAAGCATGTCTGATAAACCCTAACTACATAAATAAATGATTAAATCAGTATATACACATAACAACAACTAGTTTAATAAGAAAAAAAAAATACCAGTGGACTCAAATACGTACCATTGATGTAACAGACGCCATTGGGTTTCAGAACATTTCTATCTATTTCAACCATTCCTTCTTCTGTCTCTGCCTCTTCTCCTTTCGGCCATTCGAACCTCACCTCCTGAAGTGAACCTGCCAGCATCTGTAGAATTGCATCATATGTTACTATAAGGGAAAAAGGGTTTGTTTTGTTTGTCTTAGACCAAGGGTTAAAAAAAGGGTTGGAGGTCGTAGGTCTTAGGTAAGTTGAGGGGTCTATCTCTTTAAAAAAAAAAAATAACGTTTTTTTATCGGTTTGGAGTATATTTCGTGAAAACACAAGATACCAACTCTAATTGGTATTCCTAACCGTTTGATTTCACTATTTACAAGGACCCATTCTTTCACTTTGTCTTAAATACCTCAAATCTAATCCTTGGAAGTAATAACTAGATATGATTATCCCTTCATACCTCTTGCCTTGTTACTATTTCTATAACATTACATTTCTCTCTCTCTCTCTCTCTCTCTCTCTCTCTCTCTCTCTCTCTCTCTCTCTCTCTCTCTCTTCTTCCTCCTCTCTCCTCTCTCTCCCTCCCTCCCTCTCCCTCCCTCCCTCTCCTCCCTCTCTCCCTCTCCCTCTCCCTCTCCTCCTCCTCCCCTCTCCCTCTCCCCCTCTCCCTCTCTCCCTCTCCCCTCCCTCCCCTCCCCCTCCCCCTCCCCCTCTCTCCCCCTCTCTCCCTTCTCTCCCTCCCTCTTTATTCCTTCTCTTATGGTACATCGCAAATTATCCACCCAAACCCACCTTCATGAAGCAATGGGCATCAGCGTGGTCGTGGATGGTAGAGGTATGCGAAGGTCCCCAGCACAGCAGCATGAGGTTAAACTTGCCATTCCCTTCGTCAACTAAGTTCCTGGTGTAC